TAGTGTGTTGATTTGGTGGCCATTTGGTCACAGTGTCATCAGACCTGTCACACTTTATTTAATAAAGTTAGACCCTGACACACAGGCTGTTTCAGTCTGACTAGAGCTTCATAACAACATCAGTAGAGTAACTGCGCCATCTTCTGGAAGAAGTAAGTAATGATATATGACTAGTTCATCCCAGTGATCACTGGAGGGCGCTCTAACAGAGGCACACACAATCACCTGCGAGATGACAGTGAGCTAAATTTGTACCATAGGCCTTCTTTCTCTCTAATTCCTCTCACAGCTACAGTAAAAATCAATAAGCTACACATACGCCCACTCCTCATATTCAGTAAAACACTGAATTATGGAATACTGAACTGCAGTAAACACTGAGAAAAGATAAAGATAGTAGTCAACAAGACATCTTAGAAGGATTAGAAATATCCCAGCAACAATAGAATCGTTATAAATAGCAGATGAACAAGAACAATATGAGATTGTGGTATATAAAAATACACTCATCAGTTCTCTGTTCTACCAGTATCCTGCAGGAGTATCTTATATTTAGCAGTGTGCATGCTAGAAAATTGGTGTGAGGGCTGCAGGGAGATCATCAGTCCTAAAAAAGCATCCTTTGTGTAACTCAGTCCATTTTCAGCGACGCTTCAGGCTTCTTAAAGTTCTTCCAAATTAAAATGACGACCTTTCATTTCAACACAAATTACAAAGAAATGTAACCAGTGTTCACGTAAAGAAAAAAAGAAACCTACAGCTGTGGGATTATTATTAATAACTATAAATTATTATGAATTTATAGTTATTAATATTAGAATTTCCCCATTCAGGATTAATAAAGTAAATCTTCTTCATTAGTGCAATACATGCTGCACAGTGGTTCTATGAGAATCACTATGGCCTTACCAGTGTTTGCCTAGTTACTCAAAAAATGACTCTTACAGGAAGTAATATAATTACTTTACTTATTACTCTCTGCCAACAGTAATTAGTTACATTACTAGTTATATTCATTTTATAACTGCTACTCCCCAGAAAATAATTGCATCCCTTCTCCCCAAAATTCAGATTAAAATCCAGTTTTGTTTGTTAAAATCAAAGTAATGATATATTTCCAGCTGCTGAATGTTTCCATCTTTTAAACTAGTTTCCTCCACGATTACAAAAATCCTTGATGTGATTGGATTGTTGGATTTCAAATCAGTAGAGGCTGACAACAAAAGTAATATTGTAACTAATTATTTTTTGGAGGAGTAGCTGTAATTCTATTACTGAAATGTATTAGTAATTAGTTACTGGGAAAAATATTATTAGTACTGTAATAGTATTACTAGTAATGAGTTACTGCCGAACAGCTAGAAAGTGAAGGTTTAATTTCATTTTGTGGCCCTTTTCCCTAAAACTAACATTATGAAACTTACAGAGCATCAGTAATATTTACGATACAGATGTTAATGTAACTAAAGGCTGAAGTACCCAGAGTTGTATTGTAACGTTATTTAAGTACTCACACAGTACATCAAGTGTCATAAATGGTTCTGCCTGCTTCAGACTGTTTCTGTAATAACCTGTAAATACAGCTCAGTAATAACTAACGAATAAACACACACACACACACACACACACACACACACACACACACGCTTATGTACAATGTACTTTATTTCCATTACGTCGTTATTTCAGTGCAGATAGCCGATGAACAGCTCTCTGCCTACTTCCGCCTTCGCTACGAGTGTTTGTAGTCGTTTGGATATAGTTAGCGTTCTTCTGGCCATCGTCCATAAGGCAGCTTATTTATTTATGTGTGTTTTATTTAATAGGGACAGATGCAGTAAACACAGACAGGATGAAAACGACTACTTTATCATCATCATATTGTATCATAGTGTTTGTAGCGGATCATTTACAACACCCGTCGCAGAAAGGCTTTTAGAAAATAAAAGGTTAAAAAGGCAGTAAGGTACAAAGAGAGTAAACGGAGACAAAAAAGATAAATAAAACACAGGTTTACGCAGTCTTACGAAAACCAACAAACGAACGAGATGTATTATCTTGACAGCAATGTTTGATCTTTACTAGAATCCCGCGGATCTGATTGGCTGTTTACTCCAGGTGGGCGGGGACATGGGCGGGTCTTGTGTTGTCTGTGATCGGTTGAAGATTTGAAAATACAAAACAACAGTCTGTTTGGTTGTAACAGTAACAGGCTTTCAGAGGCTTAACCAACAATAAATGACCTGTTTGACATTTTCAGACTGACACTGCACAATGTTCTGCGACTGAACTTGAGAGACACTAACAGCAGGTAAGGACACTGCACAGATACAGATACTTTATAGACATATACCAACGCGTACGTTAGACAATAAACAGGCAACCGTTATGATAGCTGCTCACATTGAGACACATTTAACCCCAGTACCATCACACAGCTGGGGTTGATGTGCACTGCTGGCTGTCATTGTTTGGCTCTGGTTAGTTTGGTTGCAGCCGTGGAATAAATATAACGACATATTACTGCAAACATCTGCATAAAAACCCTTCACACTGTATACAAATACATTTAAACCGAATCCAGTCAGTGAGAGGAGTTTGATTAGCAGGAGTGTTTTTAATCCCTTTATTTCTCTCTTTATTTCTGTGATGCATGCCAGTGAAAACACAACACATCGCAGCATTACAGTTAGTGTGCACTGCAGAAAACAATCAAATGCTAGTTATTGATTTAGTGTAATGGCTCAACATAGAGCCACCTCAGTCCATAAGGTGCAGACCAGGCTTTACATTGACAAGACGTTTAATAAAAGGAGCCCCTCCCCCATATATCTGGAAACAGATGGACCCTAACAATGAAAGTCTTGGGGAGTGGGCATCATTATTCAAACCACTATATTTCAAGGAATCTCATTGGACACCCTCGTCAGCTGACCCAGTTTTCTTGAATTTTGAAAAATGATAACGGAAGAAGGGTCTCAGGCATCACCTATGCCCAAACAGTCAAAGAGGGATTAGAGCTATCATTACATCAAGGTATGAAAATGTATATGACTCTATTATGAGCCAGTATTCTTCTTGTCTTTAACAGATAAAGACAACACCTGAGTTTCCTGCTTAACAAAGAAGGGAAGTAAGGAAGGACGGGGACAACAGACAACAAAACCTCAGGAGAAAACAAAGACGATGTTCAAAACAATCACCCGGCTGCTTTTTGGGGTAGAGGAGGAGACCCCCGAGGATGTCAAGTCTGGAGAAGTGGTGGAAGAAGGGTGGCTTGTTGTCAGTCATCAAGGTCAGTCATGGAGTATTTTGTTCTTATATTTAAAACATATGTAATGTAACAATATATACATAAAATATACAGTATTGATAATGTAAACAATCATATTTTGTGTATTATTCGGGTGTTTTCATCTTTACCACTTTAATCTGACTCTGCTGTCCATGTTGATGAGTGACAAAGTGGGGCACCTGGAGTGCGGTTTGAAATGTATTCATATTATTCAAATGATTCATAATTCCATGATTATTCTGACAAAATCTTGCTAAGTGATCCTATTAATGTTATAATAAACTTCATGGTGATGTCTAATGTGATACCACGATAAGGTCTTCATAATGGAGTTGCCTTTAAGCCAACTGAGCCAAACCATTAAACAAACACAAAGAATGAGATCTGTCCTTTAACATCCCGTACACCTCATACGTCGTTTTGTTTGATTTCAGTGATTAACCTGTTATTCATTTAGCTACACAATTGCTTACTATACCTACTGTATATCGAATTCTTGCTCACTTATATAACAAAACTAAATTTTGTGTCCACAGAGGCAGGTTCAGCAGAGAGCCATAGTGCAGAGCTGACTGACACCCAACCATCAAACTCTGCTCCTCATGGAGACACAATTGCAAACATGGACACTGACGGCAGGTGAGACAGCAGGAGGAATCCTCTGTGGTCACATGCAGAATTTCAATATTAAGGAATTTTTAAACAGATACCATTTCAGACTTTGCAATTAAGACACAACTTTATTCTAATCCCATTTCACAGTAAATACTGATTCTCTCAAGCCTGTAAGATTCACATACTTGCTTGTGTTCCTCTCCAGTGTGTTGGATCCAGAGCCCACAGTTCGAAGCAGCAGCGCCACCAGTCGAGCCATCACAGGCTCAGTTTCTCAGCCTAAAGCTTTGTTGGAAGTGACTCAGTTAGCCTGCACCCAGAAGGCTAAGGCCTGGACAGACCGACACCACATGACTCGTAACGCCATCCAGCGCCAGAACCGCGTCCACCAAGGAGTCCAACATCACTCCTTCCACCTCCAACAGCCGGGACATCGCAACCTCAGCCACTGAGGCTCTGGATGTACGACGGCAAATGTTAACCAGAAAATACATCATTATCATAATACTATTAAACACATACTACAATACGCACATTTTAGTTTTGTGCAGATTTAAGCTAAATAAATATAATCTTGATAAAACCCATTACAACACTTGACAACTCTTACAAGGTAGTAGGCAGCTACATTATAACTCTGTACTGTATATGAATTTGGAATGAAGACGTCCACCTCATGAAATGAGATACACCATGTTTTCTTGTTTGTGTGCATGTGATGTGATGTGGATGAGAGAAAAGTGCAGCCTATGCAAAATGTATCCTGTAACATTTCTGACAAAGTGACATGATTTGTGTATTGACATGCATTTACCTCTATGTACTTGGTTGAAAACCTTTTTTTATACGGCAATAAAAACGATGACATTGCAGCTTGTGTTTTATGTATTAGTCAAATTGACAAATTGTCAAAATGACATTGAACTGCTCAGTTTGACAGATGCTGAGATCTGATTGGTTGGGAGGTAATTACACCTGCTGTGTTTAATTACTAGTTAAACTGAGGGAAGGGTGAAGTTCATAGACTTTTACAATAAGGAGGTGTGTTGTGTTCCTGAATTAACTTACTCCTTGAGTGAATACAGTGAGGATGGATGTTTCACCTGAAACAAAACTTAACCAGCAGTTAACTTTCAGTTACAAAAGCTTTGCTGGTTCATCACCAACTGACTTCAACTGTGGCTTGAATAAAAACCCAGGTGAGAGAATACAGATAATAGTGTAAATGCATTTCACTCCTACTCATTTACACCTTCAACATTGTAGGTGCAGATCACCTGATTAAAGGTCAAGGGAGAGACGGGCAGGATCTGGGGAGAAAAGAATTAATGACTTTGCAAATCTAAAACATATCAACATTTTGTTTTGTGCCGCAGATCTCAGCCATCTCCCAAAGGAGATTCCTCTTAAACAGCTGGTGTCTGGTAGCCCAAATGTGTTAGCTGGAAGCCGGACAGACGTCAAAGAGAAAGACAAGGACTGCTCCAGTCAGGACACACTCATACCTGTCTATGCTGCATCAATCACCTTTGCCATTGGAGTGGCTATTGCTCTGGTCCTGCATATTTGCATGGGGGGAAGAAGTTTGGTATGTCATGCCATGTAACATATGCAAGTAAATACCACAACTGCATTATTTCTCCTCATTTACAGTTTCTTCTCAGGTAGTTGCAAAAGGTGTGTTAGTGTCAGATCACGAGCGCTGCACTGCTCTTGGTATGAGAGTCCTTCATGATCGTGGATCCAGTGTGGATGCAGCCATCACTGCCGCCCTGTGTTTGGGTGTTGTGCATCCACATGAGTCCGGTGTTGGTGGGTACGTGACTGACTTCTTATTAACATGCTTAGTGTAAAATATAAGTGTCTGATCACAAACTCATCCATTGCTCATTCTCTTTCTGTAGAGGTGGGGTGATGCTGGTTCATGACATCCATAAGAATAAAACCAGGGTGATACATTTTCAGGGAACGGCACCTAAAGCACTTAAAGAGGAGATGCTGCAAAATATTTCAGAAGTAAAGGTAATATAAAGGTGGAGAGGGGGCAACCGTTCATCATTTTGATTATTTGTTATTTAGCATCTACTTCATCTATTCAGGCAGGTCTGCAAGTGGGTGTGCCAGGACTGCTCAGAGGGTTACACCATGCTCACAGCCTGTATGGGAGGTAAAAGACTTTAGATGAAGTGAAATGTATCTGGTGTTTAGTCTTTGTTCTTTCTTTCTACCTAAAGTCAAACACATCTTACTACAAAATCTCTGCAGTCTATCCTGGGAGGATGTGGTCACTCGAGCCACCGCTGTTGCCAGAGAAGGTTTCAATGTATCTTTCAGTCTTGGTGAGTCAAATGTTACCACTTGCACACCACATAACCTGTTGATGTTGTCTGTACCAGCATGTGACTCAGATGTGTAATTCCACAGCTGAGGCTGTATCGAAAGTAAAAGGTGAGCAGCTATCGCAGCGTTTCAGGGACATGTTCTTCCCGGATGGCAAAGCTCTGCGTCCTGGTTCATTTCTGAAGATGCCCAGTCTGGCTGGAGTCCTGGAGGCTGGTCTGTCGAACTTCTATGATGGGAACTTCTCACAAGAGATGGAGGACGAGGTGAATGACATCACACATGAAATGGACCTGGTATTCATGGGCAAAACATTGGGGTGAAATTTGCTTGTTTTCTGGGTTTAACAACTACAATTATTCAATTTTCAGTTATCTGTGTTTTCATACAAAGGTGCGAGTTAATGGAGGGGTCCTGACCAGAGATGACATCAGTAACTACAGTGTGCAGGTGGAGCAGCCATTGGAAGGCCTGTACAATGGTAAACAATTTGTTCAACAATACACTGAAAATGTGCATGTATTCTTGATACCTTCATATTGTGTTACTCAGTGTGTTTCAGAATTTATTATTCAGGTTCCTCCTCCCCCATCTGCTGGTGCAGTGTTGATATCAGCGCTCAGGCTTTTGCAGGGCTTCCATCTCAATGAGAACAATAACACAGAAAACCAAACATACCACTGGATTGCTCAGGTACTGGATTGTAAAGCTGAAGTACCAGTGTTTTATTTATGTTAAAATGGTAACCCGGCACTTTTAATAAAAGGTTTCTCCCTGTTAAGGCTATGAAAGCAGCTTTGGCTATGGCCAGTGGTTTGGGTGACCCTAGATTTAACTCTTCAGTGACTGAGCTGCTCTCTGACATGCTAAGGTAAACTACATTGAGGAAGAGGGCTGCAACTAAACATTATTTTTATTAGTGATTAATTATACTATTTTTATCTTGATTAACTGATGAATTGCTTTGTCCATGAAAAGTAAAAAAGTACTGGAAATTCTCATCATACTCTGAGCCCAGGAGGACGTCTTCAAATGTCTTGTTTTATCGGACCAAAAGTCTAAAACCCAGCCAGTTTACTGACATATGACAGAAAGGGAAGATAAGCAGCAAATCCTCACATCTGACGAGCTGGAACCAGCTACATATTTAGGTGTTATAACACCATACTTACTAATTATTACATCAAGCATTTCCTGTTAATTTTCTCTTTGCTCTTGCTAAAGTAAGGGTCAAGCTGAAGTGCTCCACCAGAGGATCGATTCCTCCGCTGTCCACTCCCTGCAGACAGAAGTGATGGCTGGACAAGTAGTAGTCATGGGACCCGATGACCTCATGGTGTCAGTAGCAAGGTGAAGGAGTCACTGCCTACACTCTGACATAAATGATTGCACCAGGAGGATATGCTTGGTATGTGCTGCTGGGCATACTGACATTATTTTATCTTATCTCTTTTCTTTATGATCTCTCAGTTCCTTGAGCGGGCCATTCGGGAGCAGAGTCATAACTCGGTCAGGCATTATCCTCAACAGCCTCATCCTTGACTTCTCCTGGCCAAACAAAACCCGAGGGCAACTCTTAACCAACCAGGTGTGTTACCATTACAAACCTCACCCAATAAAATAAGTCAGATACAAAGTATTGTTTTAAATATTTCTTGCTGTTTGCCATCTGTGTTAAAGAGAAATAGAGTTCAGCCAGGAAAGAGGCCCCTATCATCGCTCATGCCCACAATAGTGGTGCCAACGTGGCATGAATGTGGGATCTACACAGCACTGAGCAGTTCAGGTGGACAGCAGAGCTTGAGTGTGATCGCCCAGGTTTGATCACTTTACATTATAAAGGTTTGGATTCTGATTCACTGGAAGATGTTTGGCTCTTTAACATTTACATGTTGTTGTGCTTCAGGTGCTGATCAGTGTGCTGTCCTTCCATAAAGAGAAAAATGAAAGCCTGTCTCTGAGAAGACTTCAGCCAAAGAGACTTTTTGTTGACTGTTAGTATGAAAAGCTGTTCAGCAGTTGACCTTTGCCTTTATTCCCCATTAGTCATATTTTAATATTAGTAATGTCTTGCTTTCCCAATCATCAGCTGCGTTTCCAGAAGAGAGTGTGGAGTTTCTGCATGAAAGCAGCCCCAAAGTTCAAAGAGTGAAGACTGTCCAGGGCATCCTGAGGAACAAAGATACCATTACAGCCATAACACTACCGCAATTATCTGACAGTTTATTATAGCTGGAATGATCTCATAAACTTTTTCATACATATCTTCCACACATCATAAAATGGTAGTATCTGGATATGCTGTTGTTGCGCTTCTATTATTGTAACCACCAACCAACAGGGGGCAGTCCGCCTACAAGTACTAGCCTATCTATTAAAGATAAAATTGTTCATATAAACTGTCTAACCACTTTATACTTGAGCTCTAATCTGATTTTTCTAAGTCATTTTTTTATGTAAAGGACAAGGACAAAGACAGGTTTTATGCTGACTGTTATGTAAAAGCTGATGTACAGTCGAGATACCATCAACATTCTTACAAACAAAAGCATCACAAGGTAGGATTTGTCATGCTTGTTACGTCTGCATGCAGACAAACATGTCACTCAAGATGTTGCACTTTAGCCGCTAGTTACCTTAAACACTTGACTCAATATGTGTTGTCACTGTTTTTGGTGACCTCCCAGTGTGGTTATTAAGATGATAATGACACCTCAGCAAGCAGAAAATGGAGACTTGTTCTCTTCATCAAATCAAATTAGTTTTTATCCAGCCCCCCTCCATACAGAAACAGTTTTTCTTCTTGTCCCTACAGTGTGATGTTTGATCTTCTCTAGAAGGATGTTTTCACATTCATCGGCTGAAAGTGGAAAGTTTCTCTGAACATCTGATTTTAAGGAGGAGGCCTAAGAGCATGATTTGTGACATCACAAATAGTTTGGAGGTCAACCCTGGTCCAGTATGCAACTTCTACAGTGGGATGTAGAAACTTGAAGCCAGCAGTGCACATTCACTAAGAACGTACATTTTGTATCCAGCAGGGAAACTTCAGAAATGAACAAACTTTACATATTCATAAATGTATAAATCTATATGCAGCTACGCTCTGTTCTCAGTACATTAGTTATACAGTGAAGACAGATATTCACACAGGACAGCTTTAATCTATATGCACTGCCCTAAATGAACCCGCAGTGAAGAAAATGTTGAGCTTTGTTGACGCAGAATACATTTAATTTAAACTTCATGCTGAAACACATTGTTGGGCCACTTGTTGCACACAGATCTGAGTGAGTTTACTGGTTATCTCTGCATTGTCCATCATATTATATATAGATATATATTAACAGGCAGATGAGCAGCCACTTGAAAGATCCAGTCAGCATTATCCTCCCTGTTCTTATTTAATCTACAGTCATGTGTTATTGCGGAAATGTGGTTGCGAGGACAGTTTTGGGGCGGAGACGTCGGGAGCTGCAATGTGGGCGTTGTCGGTCACATGCAGGTCAGTATTTAAATGCCTGCAGGTTGTCCCAGCTGCTCAGAAGAGGTAAAGCGGAAGAGAATATCCAGCGACCCACCTGCTTTTGAGACTAATTCATCCATATAGCAATAATGGAGTGATCTGTCGCGGAGTAATTGTTCTGACAAATAAAAACAGTAAGTAAGCAGCAGTGTGTGTGTTTCTAAGGCTAAATATGTCTATAATGAATGTTAATGATTAGAAATATGTTACAGAGGAGCTCAGTTTGTTGTAGCCTATTTAAACAGGTGGAGTATCCTAGATCCTATTTTCATCTTAGCTCTTGCAGGTCTTGTTTACAATTAGTCCAGTATTACTAATTTTTGTGCCATTGTGTCTGTTAAACTTTATTTATTTATTCGTGTGTAATTTATTTTCTCCCAACTTTGTAATTAAGCAGCCTTAAGTGAGCCAGGAGGTGTTGTTAGGCCACAATGTAATAAAGTACTCCTGTTGTGTTTCTACAGGTTAACTGCTTCTAAAAGCACAATAACCTGCTTCAACGCTGTTAACACACTATAAATATACTGGTGGACATAAGAGGTTTTAATGGAGTCCAAAACCGTTGTAAAGGAGAATTTTTTCATTGTGCTACGCGGGAAGTCGAGGAAAGGCTTCTGCCGCGGATGTATCGGCCGTGTGGAGGCAGAGACGCAGCGCGGGGAGCTGATGGGGCTGCTGTACTGCGGCGGCAGCAACGCGGGGACCCCCAAGAGCGGAGGCATCGTGCGGAGGGAGGACACCTACCCTCTGACCCGCCACCAGGCCCAGCTTCTGCTCTTCGTTTCCCCCGCAAGCAAACGCCTGGAGCTGCTGTGTAACCCCCAGCTGTTCTCGGCCATCTGCGAGCTGTCTCAGGAAGACCTGGTGGTGGTGAAGCACAAGAAGGGACACCTTCCCGGACTGGTGAAGAACCTCATGCAAATTGGGAGGAAGGAGAACAAAGACGACCTGCACATGCTTGGCTTTGAGGTGGAATTTGTGGTGGGTAAAGTTGTTTGTCTGGTTTATTATTTGCTGCATCAAGGCGTGGGATAAAGACCAGGGTAGCTGGCACACTGTTAATATCCGGTTTCTCTGAAGCTACACATTGTGGATGCACACTAATATAACCTCAAGAAATGCACTGAGGCAAGCATGACCATGTCTCCTGTATTTGGGTCTCTGTGGGCAAAGTTATCAGTCACAAGATTGCCAGAGAGATATATAACTCACATGTCATCATTATCTGTGTTCTGTTACATGTCTGCTTTTCTTTGTATTTCTTCTAGGACAATGATCACAACTTGTCATCCAAGAAACCTGCTCCTCTGCCCCTGTTCAGTGCTGTGGACATCATCCAGGTGGTTCCATCTTACTCCACTCCCCTGGGACTCCACTGGAAAGACGGCCAATATGGGAGTAAGTAAAGAGTCCCAGCTTGCCTCTTTCAAAGTCAAGATTGGATATTTCTGAACCACTAGATACTTGGTGGAGATGTTGAGTTTATAAAACAAAATCCCTTTTTTAAAACTCAAACCAAATGTTTTGGTTCTAAGGGCAATCTCCGCCCCCCTCACCCTCTAATCAGTGAATGATATCCTGCCATTGAAAGTTGTTAGAAAGCACATGTGATTTCAGAGGTTGCAAACAAAAGCAGTTCCCAACTGGAAAAACTGGTCCTGTTGCTCTGGAATGCCAAACATTAAATTCACATTTTTGCACATTGTGCACTCTGAGCTGTCTACATACCTCATATGTCTGATGATGCAGCATGTGACAAGACACAAAATGTTCTATGACTTTCTGACCCTGCCCCCCCTGTACCTTACCACAGGTCTAAACCGCAAGGCGGTGACGCGCATCAACTCCATGCCGAATATCGGCTCTCGTGCACGACAAGTGAGGGAGAACCCCGCGGAGCAGAGTGTCATTCAGAGCCAAAGTTCAAGCACGGCTCATGTGCCTCTGGAGGTGGGATCCTTGGTGGAGGTGGTGTCCAACTCGGGGATCACAGTGTACGGGGTGGTCCGGTGGTTGGGGGTCCCCGGAGGGAAGACGGATGACTGGGCTGGCATTGAATTGGTGAGTGACTGAAATACTGTACAGTAACTGTTTCTGTTTGCTTTAGGCATCAAAGACGCTTCATATGTGATTTTGGTTTTCATTATTTCAGGACTACGAGGTGAACGGCTGCTCTGATGGGAAGTACAGAAGCCAGAGATATTTCACCTGCAAAGGGAACCGGGCGTTGTTTGTTCCAGTCACAAAGTGCAGCCCTGATAGCAGGTTCGTCTGCTCCTCTACAGGAAGGGAGACCACCAAACCCACCGAAACACCGGCAGGTTAGACTTTTGACTGCTTTTCTGGGGAACATGTGCAGAAGCAATTCAAATATACACATTTCACATGTTTGATAAACAAGATCTGTTAAACTTTATTTATTTTTTTTCAACCTGTTATATTTTATGTACAAAATAAATGTAAAATGTAGCTTTAGACCCTCAGAATTGTTTTTTGTGGACTATGCACAAAACTGAAATGCTGTACAGGTTTGTTTTTCAAACTTTGAACTTTTGATCAGGGTGCCAGTATTCTGTAGTATCACAAAACATTAGGAGTGGATGTTTGTCATTCCTCTGTTCAACTGATCTCACTGAATCAGTTTCTACTTGGTGTCCTGTTGAAGTGTCACAGAGTTGTACCCAAGTTATATATTTAAAAAAAAAAAAACACCTTTCAATGACACCTGGAATAATGTACACTCTGTTTTTTTTTTTTTTTAATCAGTGGAACATGTCTGACACTCCTGTGAACTTCCTGCTTTAGTAAAGCAGATTAATCATTCATCCTTGAAGGCCTCTGTGGCTGACAGTGTTTAAGCAGAGAAACCGCAGCAGGATATCCGATTTAAAGCTACAGGTGAAATGAGTTCTGTTTTTAAATGATTTGATGGGAATTTGTTTTTGTTTGCTTGCTGTTTTCAGTTCCTCCATTTGAGGACTCTGAGGAGGATGCTCCACCTATCCCTGAATCAGAGGCCTTGTCTTTGTTAGTGGGAAGAATGAAAGGGATTCAGGGTCACATCAACTCCTGTTACCTTGATGCCACACTCTTCAGGTAGAACCAGTTCACCTCTCCTCGGGGCATTTAATTCTCAAGTATCGGTGTTGCAATCTTGGCTCAAATTTACTTTAACATCAGTGATTTTTATTCAGAGGAGATCACGTACAACTAAATGAGCATGGTGAGCAATATTTAATTGCTAAGCTGATAAAACAAGGTTTTTCTTTTTTCAGTTTGTTCAGCTCCTCCGTGACCCTGGATAATATCTGCCAGAAGCCTGCTGACACAGAACAAACCATAAACTGCTGTCTTAGAAAAATACTCAACCGTTTACGCAGGTATAAATACTGTCTTCAAGATGAGTTTGTTTTTCTAATGCCTTGTATTATCATTTAGCTTGTAAAACAGGAACATTATGACATTGTACATAATCTCATCTGCTAAACAACTTGCTGAATGATAAGGGTACTCTGTATTCACTAGCTAACAAAAAAAGTACATACCGTATGCTTAAAACTTACTTGCATAAGAAGGTGTGTCTTAAAGTGTGTGTGTGGTTTTGTTTGCTCACTAATAGCTGATGTATTTATTGCAGACAAGGGTTTGTGCCTGCTGAGAGTGTTATGAATTTCCGCAAACAGCTTGGCTGCGACACCTTCCGAACAGAGGAAAAAGGTACACACTCATATCTGTGACATGCATTGTTAAAAATATATTTCAGTGGAAGAGCCTTAGTCACTGCAACATAACATAGCAAAGTCCAATGTAGTCCATTGTTCTACACGTTTTGAATTGCTTTGCTTCACTGCAGACCCAGAGGAGTTCATCACTGTCCTCTTTCAGAAGGTGCTTTGCGTGGAGCCGCTGCTCAAGCTCAGGTAAGATCCTGAGCCACTCGCCATTAAATATCCTTTTCTATTTGATTGTATAAAGTTGAGTTACTTAAATTCTGTTTCTTTTTAGATCAAGAGGAGAAACGTCTCAGGGTGCCTACACCTTCCAGATTTTTCTGGAAAAAGAACAGATGGGACAGTTGCCCACTGTCCAACAGCTGCTGGACACATCCTGCCTGTCAGGTGACCTCAAGTTTGAAGAGGTGAGCACATGGTCCTCCTTTTTAAAAGGGGGGGAAAGAAGCCTATCAAGTTTATCAAGTCTTCCTCTGTAGAATCATGTAACCCAAGTATTGTCTTTCCTATATGTCTCAGACGCCATCCTGTCTCATGGTTCAGATGCCAAGGTTTGGAAACAAGTATAAGATGTTTTCTCACATTATTCCTTCCACCGAGCTTGACATCACAGATCTCCTATACAACTGTGAGTAGCAGACATGATCAGCACTAATTTAAATATAGGATGAGAATGGAATACACATTTTTAATACAGTGTCTTCGAAGAGCTGAAAGATGTCTTATGGTTTACCTACTTTAACCATTAGCTCCGAGGGAATGCTTCATCTGTGGGCATTTGGCAGAGCACGAGTGTCTTCAGTGTCTACCAGATCGCAAACTGCAGCCAGGGAGGATCAAACAGTATTGCACTACTTGCAACACACAGGTAGGCCTTTTTTTTTTTTTTTTTTTTTTTTTTAATATAAAAGATGTCATGTTTCCCACTGATCAGACTTGCAGACTTTTGTCAAACTTTTGTCAAACTTTCTATTTTTCTTTAAGGTGCACGCCCATCAGTCCCGGCGGGGTCACTCCCCCAAAGCTCTGGCAGTACCAGCAGATGTAACCTCTGATACTCCTGTGCCCAGGCACATGATGCAGCTGTTCGCTGTGCTCTGCATTCAAACCAGCCACTATGTGTCCTTTGTCAAATATGGTCCTGATCCTCACTCCTGGCTCTTCTTTGA